ATGGGTGCCGGCGCATGCGCGCCTGTATGTGTGGATTGTTCAAGCGGCATTTGTGCACACATCTGTGTACGTACAGCTGTGCATGAGCTTACGTGGCATGCTAAAAATGCGTGCTGATGAGAGGCATACAAAGGGGCAGAAGGAACAAAAAAAAGGGGGGATTACATAACAAATGCGTACGAATATAAGAGAAAATGTTCGCAGCCAAAGTAAAACCACCATTTCGAAAGAAGTGGACAAGCGGTAATGGCGACGTAAATATGCTCGGCCCCGTTTATACGCAATGAATAAGCCCCGTTCGTAAACGCGCACGTAATATGTATATGTACACGTCTGTACAGAATTACGGACTCGCGCACTGGGGTAGTGCAGAAAGGTGGCATTCCTTACCCCACTTCCTCGCAGCATATGGCAGTAGCGCACATTTGCGTATGTCACACATTTCGCCTATTACCTCCAAGGAAAGCACAACTCATTTGGGGACGAGCAACTTCTTAAACGTTTTGCAGTGGTTTATTCCATATTCTGTAGAGAAGTACGTGCCTGCGGGGAGAGGGGAAAAGAAAAAATAAGATAAAAAGGATTCATTCCAAGCACATCTGTACCGTTGTGCATGCGATAAGTGTCTCTGTACGAATCGGTACATATGCAAATTTTCACGTTCACTAAAATTGCATATGCTGGTGCAAGTGTGTTGTGTGAATTTCCAGTTTGTTAAGGGGCTCTAAACTGTGGCCCGTATCTGTGCGATGCCCCACACCCCTCTTTTCTCTTCATCAGTTGCAATGATGGAGCAATCTCATTTTCCTTAAATTGTTATGCACATATGATAAGGTGCCAAGCGTATTAACCCTTTTTTTTTGGAATGTTCAAAACAATTTTAGCAACCGATAAGGTTAAAATTGGCGCGGTGTGTCTGTGCACATGGTGGTGTGGCCGTCTATCGGTATGCCGACGTGGAGCTACCTCTCTCTGTCCGGCTACCTCCGCTCAACGTTTCCACTCCCTCCCCCCCTCTTTACGTACTTGTCTCCGCGTCAAAGACGCAAGCCAAATCTGGTGACATCAGATGCTCGGAGGATGAATTACACGAATCCGTCATGAAAGTCTGATCAACGGTGTCGATGAAGGTCCATTTGCATTTGTAATAGGGATCTTCTTTCTCCTTCTCCTTTTCCTCTTTTGTTATCTTAAACTTGATAGGAATGTGCAAGTGAGAAATAGGCGCCTTATCCTTATTCAAGCGAAGGTCATAAGAATAGTCATATTTAATTAACTGATCTTGAACAATTAAATAAATTTCCAAGTCGGTAAGGTTAGGCTTCCTTGCTGTTATGAGAAAATCTTTCTTATAATCCATGGAGGTTGCTATAGGGGAAGAACTGCGGAACTCCACATATATGTGTATCTTTGGCGGTATGATAATTAAGGCAACTGTGTTTTTCTGAAAACCACACACATAACCTCTGAACACGTTAATATTTTTCGGCACTATCATAGTTCCCCATGAGAAAAAATGTATAAAGAAGCTATACTTGGCACCACTTATGGGCAGTTTCGGCAACTTCATGATGGAGGAATCTTGGTGTTGCTCATAGGCACCATACAGCAAAGCTAAGTTGTTAATAGGATGACAGCAACAGAACCCATCAGAATAGTCAATACAAGTGACTTTAAACGAATCCGTGTTGTTCACTTTGCTTATAACTAGACATTTTTCCGGGATAATTCTAATGAATACATTTGCTTGGTTTAGTATAAACACTGTGGGTCTCCATGTCTTGGCTAAAACTGGAAGTCGCACCGAGCTATTCCAAGTAATAATATTCTGTGTTATGGGCAACTTCATTAAGATTTTTTGCTCCCCTTCGATACATACTATGATATCTCTGCATTTATATACCTTGATGTCATATTTTCCACTCAAGGATGCCTCCAACTGTGGTGGTGGATTTCTGTCTTCGGACGATTTTAGCATAACAATTCGATCATCATCGAAGACCGTTTTTTTAAGGATCAACGGTTTTTCCAGTGCTGACCAGGAATTCCCATCGAAGAAGTACGTGGGGGAAAATATTTTCGCTTTTTTTTCGAGATTGTAACTTTTTGGTTCTTCGTAGCTTTCGAAGCTGTACGCAGCTTGGAAGGGTGTGACCACGGCTGGCTCGTGCGTCCTTTCCATCTTGAGGGGTTTCTCTGTTGTGGCGTTGTCGTTCTGCGGCGTTGCTATTCTGCGGCGTTGCTTTTCTTCGGCGTTGTTGTTCTGCGGCGTTGTTGTTCTGCTGCGTTGCTATTCTGAGGCGTTACTACTTTTCGCTGTTACCGTCCTTGTCTATGCTGGTTGCCGTTTTGGAATTTTTTCCTCTTGCGTGCTACGATTTGATTAAGCGATTCTTCGACGTGCAACTTGGAAAGGAAGTGACCTTTGGAGAATTTTAACGAGGGGGAGTGTGGAAAAAAAAAATGCACATAGCTTTAATTACATCAAATTGAGTGTCTACTTGGGTAAGTATAAGACGCATAAATTTTTCATTTTTTGATTACTTGGAACAAGCTTAAGGCGCATTCGTCTTTTTTTTTTTTTTTTTACACAAACAGCTGTCCATTTAAAGCTAGCTACGTAGCGGATTAGCTACACACCCTGCATATTTCACCTGACTGTACATGCATTTTAGGGATTTAAAAAAAAAGTTGATCTTTATAATTTTTTTTTATTTGTTGTTGTGGAAAGCCCAAATATGAGCCTTTCAGAATGCGCATTTCGTGATTTGTTTATAGGGCTCTCTCACCTTGAGTGAGCGTTGTGGATTTTTCACTTTGTTTTTCTCATGAACTCGTTTATATATTTAATT